TGAACTACAGAGGGACCTACAATTAATGGTCTTATAACACAGGTTTTTGCTTAATACGGGTGGTTTCTTAAGCAGGTTTGACTGTATATAAATCAAATTGACACCATATTTTCCTCTTTTTTTATCACTAAATCAACATCAAAAAGCTTGTTGTGTGGATCGGCGGTTCTCTAAAAGCCGTTTGGAAACGGTCTAAAATTGTCAAAGAAAATTTAGTGTTAACCGATACTCAGTTATATGTTGAAATTGGAAGCGCTAAATCAAAAACAATTTATAGTATAAAAAGTACATAGTACTTCTTTTCAGAAAATATTGATTCATTTATATGTACTAAAGTAGTAACTGAAAAATACATATCTTGTCACATAAAAAAAAATCACATGTTTAAAAATCGGAATTCGGCCTGCTGAAAATCAAATAGTGGTTAAGGTGGATTTGGTTCTATATAAAACGAGCAGAGTTTTCCGTACTATGCCAAAATGCTATAATTTCAAAACATAATAAAAAGGTATTGATCGCTGACCTTTTTTGAATCTTTAATTTGTGAATTCAGATGAAAAGATGGCTCGTAAAATGTGTTTTCCGAAAGCAAAAAAAAAAACCCAATACTGAATCTCCGTTCTCGTTTTCTTAATAAATCACAAGAGACCAGATGATATAGAAGTTAACAACTATTATAGGTCACCGTACGGCCTTCAACAATGAGCAAAACCCATACCTCATTATCAGTTATAAAAGACCCCGAAATGACAAATGTAAAACAATTCATAGAAGAAAACCAGCGGCATAATTTTTTTTGAATGATTTCCTGATAAAACAATCCTAATTTAAAAATTGTAATCAATGAAAACATTTTCTTTAAAGAAAAACAATTTAAACCCCGAATAAGCTTAAAATATTTAAAGTTGATAATGGCAGCTTAAAGATCACGTATTTCTTTCTCAAACTTGATGCATATTTTATCAAGTACTTCGTTAGGGATTTATAAAACAGAATTATAATTGATGTCAAGATTGTGACAAAAAATACGAGTATTACCTGATAGAATATGTAATATGAATTATAATACTATATAGTATAAGCCACTTTTTTTTATGAAAAAATAAATAAAACGGACCGCTTATGAATAAAGTTTTGATATAATGAGATTATGAAAAGAAAAATATCTGGCGATCGTCAATAAACATCTTTCACATAATCAAATTAAGAAGCATTTGAATATTAACATAAATAGAAACAAGAGGCTCTCAAGAGCCTGAATCGCTCACCTGTAATTTTTTGCTTATATCTTTCATCAATGATTATTTTTGTTTTTCAATATATGTTAATGAGTGGCTTAAAAATGCCATTTAAATGTAATTTGTATCTGTCATATTTTCTTCAAAAGCTAAAAAATGCATTTTACCCCTATGTTCCATTTTAGCCATAGTGGCTATGTTTCTTGACGTACAAGGAAATAAAATACAAAATTTATACTAGATACTCTGAAACTCATTCAGCCCAAGTTTGGCTGAAATTGATTCAGCAGTTTCAAAGGAGAAGATTTTTTAAAGTAAGCAAACTAATGAACAAATTGTGAAAAATTGTCTTTAAAGGATAATAACTCCTTAAGGGATCAATTGACAATTTTTGTCATATAAAACTTGTTTGTAGATCATACTTTGCTGAACATTTTTGCTGTTAAAAGTTTATCTTTATCTATAATAACATTCAAGATAATAACCGAAAACTGCAAAATTTCCTTAAAATCACCAATTCAGGGACAATAACCTAAAAATCAGATACCCGATTTGGCTGATAATTCAGAGCGCAATGAATACTTTAACTTTCCTCTAAATGCTTTAGTTTTTGAGATATAAGTCAAAAACTGCATTTTACCCTATGTTCTATTTTTAGCCATGGCAACCATGTTTTCTGAGGAAACAGAAAATAAAACACAAAATTTATTCAAGATAACCTAAGAATTATTCAGCTTAAGTTTGGTTAAATTTGGTTCAGTAGTTTCAGAGGAGAAGATTTTTTAAAGTTAGAAATCATTATAAACAAATTGCGTAAAATTGTCCTTAAAGGGCAATAACTCCATGAGGGGTCAATTGACAATTTTGGTCATATAAACTTATTTGTAGATCTTACTTTGCTGAACATTTTTGCTGTTTATCTTTATCTATAATAATATTCAAGATAATAACCAAATATTTCCTTAAGATTACCAATTTAGTGGCAGCAACCCAACAATGGGTTGTTAGATTCATCTGAAAATTTCAGGGCTGATAGAACTTCACCTAATGAACATTTTTACCCCATGTCAGATTTGCTCTAAATGCTTTAGTTTTTGAGATATAAGCCAAAAATTGCATTTTGCCCCCATGTTCTATTTTTAGCCATGGCGGCCATGTTTTTTGACGAAACAGAAAATAAAACACAAATTTTATTCAAGATACCCTACGGATCATTTAGCTTAAGTTTGGTTGGAATTGGTTTAGTAGTTTCAGAGAAGAAGATGTTTGAAATAGTTTACACCGGACTGACGACGACGGACGCCAAGTGATGATAAATGCTCACATTTCTTTCGGAAAGGTGAGCTAAAAATTAATGGAGAGAAATTACCAAATTACAGCAAACAAATAGAAACGTATAACAGAAGAAAAGAGACAGAAACAAGAAACAAAATATTAACAATTTCACTAGCCAAGATTAGGGACGTCTTCTGACAAAGAGAACATTGCTAAATTTTAAGATAAAGAAGAAACTAATAATGCACAAATAGTAAAATAAAATTAAGAAAATAAAACATCGAAGGTTATAAGCAAAGACATTCAATGTGATATGTTGGAAGCACGCTCGTCCTAAGAGTAAAGAGGAAACCTCAGATTTTTTCCTGCTTTGTTTCACTCAAAGTATCAAACTCAGTTTTAAAGTTTCAAAGCATTTTGATTTTGAAAATGAAAGACGCTAAATAGTATACAAAACAGATTTTAAATCATGTAACAAGACATCAAATTGTTATTCCGTGCTAAACATTACTGTTGGTGACAATTTTTACACAAAATTAAAAATTTTGCATATGTTTCGAATATTGTTTTAATTTATATGGAAATTTGAAAATCAAAGTTTGCATTTATCAATGCCAACCCCGTCTTAAAAAAATTAAAAATATATAGTGAACAAACTTCGAAAATCTCTGCTAAATGAATATTTTTTAGAAGAAAGTAAATTCTACGGTCACTTTAAACAGCATTTTCACATATGTAAGTAAAAAGGTAATACGTTCGAAACTTCTTTGGAACAACGTCAAAATCGTCGTTTTATTGGGAACGTCGTGTAACGCTGAGTGGTACCAATATCTTTATAAAAATTAATTAATATATAAAATTATATAAAATTTTGAATTGGTAGTCTGACAAATAACCTGATCACTGAAATTCAGAAAGAAACAAATACCCTGCTCACTGAAATTCTGACAAAAACAAATATCCTACCCACTCAAATCGGTTTCATATGTTTATTCTATCATTATTATTATCAGTTTATGTGCTGATTGGACTGATGATTAATCTCCGTATGTAGATAAAACCAGAAGACTGTTTTTGATCTCTTTAGAATTCTCGTGTTGTTGTTTTTTTTTCCTCTATTCGCACAAGGATAATAGTTACGCTGAAAGGGGCCACAGGTAACCCTACCATAAACGGTTTAAGATATGTCTCTGCGCGACAAAACATCGTGCATTATTTCCGGTTGCGACAGAGGAAGTCTTGCTCTTACTTTATTCGGAGGCATTATTCGGGATCGTACTAGCATTGATTCATGATCATAGAAAGGCAATTATGCATGTCACCACCAAATAATAACAACTTTGTCAATAGATTAAAAGCAATTTTGGAAAAATATTGTCTACTAAAGGCACATTAAATTATGAACAATAAACCATCAAAAGAGGCCTGGAAATGAACTATAAAAGAGGCAGTAAACATTCATTGAGAGAAGCAGTGGTTAGCAGAAAAAGAAAATAAAACCACTATGCAATCCATGGAAATAAATCCATTACCTATTGAAAGGCCTAATCACATCTGGCAGCTAGTACCCAGTACAACTATCGAAGTAAAAAATGCCGAAACCAAAGCGAGGTTAATTACAAGATCCTACACACTACAATCAGATCGAGCAAAAATCACAAGAGGTCGAGAAGATGACAAGTGCTTGCTATGTGAAACGAACCGTGAAAATACAAATCACTTTCTGCTAATGTGTCCTGCCCTAAAGTCAGAGCGAGATAGACATTTATCAGTTCTAAAATCCTATATGAATAACAACGCACCTTTTGGAACATATGACAAAATAGAGGCATAAGGATCTCTTGTACTATTTATACTTGTCCATCTGCAACCAAATTTAAAGAGCTATTCAAACTAAAGAACTCAAAATATAAGGATATTGAACTTGAGCAACAGCAAGAACATTGTGTTACAGCCTTTATATCAAACGTACTATATCAAATCAGACCAAGGCTTAAATGGACTATCACATAAGATCATTATATGATTAATATCAAAGTTACAAAAGTAAAGGATATTCGTGAAAGGATAGTATCAAGCGACATTGTACAAATAAAGAATGAATTTTATTATAGTGATCAGGACAACATTAAGACGGTCAGTGTGGGATTCCGCGATTTCCCATTTATTATAGTTACTGAGTATCTGGTCAGTGATGGATTCCGCACTATACCATTAGCTCATCTGGTAAACTAATTTAGATCAATGTTCTGAAATCTATGATAAATAATTCAACAACCAACGGATCCAAAATGAAATATGTATATACATGTATTGTTGTATAGTAAAGAGTCTGAAATATTCCAGAAATATATTGTACAGTGCCGATGGCTTTTATATTTGTGATGGTGCTACTAACAGTAAGTAAAAACTGAGTCTTTGTAAATATTCTTATACGTTCAAATAGTTTATAAACTTATCCTTCGGAAGTGCTCCTTAGATAGGAGGAACATACAAGTAAACAGTAAACTTGGATGTTTTGGCAACATTCCTGTGATGTGTTGAATGGTAAACATACAACCTTATTTATAGAGCAAACATTTTGACGCATTGGATTGTGGTTTATTTTTTATTATTATTTCTTGAGATCCTGTGGTAAGTCTTTTTTATTTAATTTTCTAAAAACTGAGTAGAAAAAAACAAAGACGTAAACAAAATTGTATATATATATATCTACTTTCGTTTTCTCTTGAAACCTTTTGTAAGCAGCACTTAAGGTTCATGTGGACCCTTTGGCTAAAATGGCTGCGTTTTTACCTCAAAATTTACTCTGAGTACAGACAAACCTGTGCATCTGGAAAAATTTTAAGGCATAGCATGCCCTAGATAAATAAAATTCAAATGCATTGTAGGTTTTAGAAAATTTAAAACTTAACTAGATTTTGCAGTGCACTTTTTTCGTCTCCACAGAAGATGATAAAATTAACAAACAGTTGAGTTTCACTTGATATGGTCCACTCAGGTACACAGTTTGAATCACCAATAATTGTCAGGTATCTATTGTCCATCTATTGTCCATGTCAATCAATACAGTTCACTTCAATTATTACGTGTGGGGAAGTTCTCAAACCTCTTTCACAACTTAGTTTATTTTGCCACTTTCTGGAGGAATGAAAAAAAGTGCACTGCAAAATCCTGTTAAGTTTTTAATTTTCGAAAACATAAAATATATTTTAATTTTATTTATCTAGGGCATGCTATGCCTTAAAACTTTTCCAGATAAACAAGTTTGTCTGTACTCAGAGTAAATTTTGAGGTGAAAATGCAGCCATTTTAGCCAAAGGGTCAACATGAACCTTAACAAAAAGTATTGGCGCTTCTCAGCTGGAAAGTACACCGGCTATGTTTCACTAATTTCATAAAAAAAAAATTGTTGCAGTCCTTTATATTGAATTGTACGAGTTTGTCTTGATGAAGGTTGACTGTTTATCGTAAAGACTCGATAAACGAAACAATAATATTTATTGCTTATATGTTAGAAACTCTTTTACCCATAAGGAGGTCAAAGGCATATTTACATTTAAATTGTAATTAGTTACAACTACATCGTCATGCAACTTACATACAGTAAAATAGAATATTAAATTCCAACACAACAAATGACCTCAAGTACCCTCTGACCTCAGACGACACATACTTTTAAATAAAGGAGCATAAAGAATTCACTTGCTGATTATAGTACCGGTAATTGGATATAGAATATCTCATTTTATTGTCACGTCCTTTCGAACACTTAAATCTTGTGAGCGTCTATGCTAAAAAGAATGATTCAATTTGTCGTTCTAGTACAAAGTAGCAATGTATTGTGTTGTTATCAGTATGTAAATATTTGATACTGTACGTTAACCAAATGGTTCAACAGATTTTTGTTCAGATTCTTGAAGTATTTCTTACAAAACCAAATTAATGTTACAACGAAAGATATTTTTACATATAATAACATACAGATTCTGTGCATGACAATTTTGTACAAAACGAACATAAAAAGATGAGTGATTGATGATCAACCTGGAGAACATACTTCTGTATTGATAATTCTGATTAATTTACACAACTTTTTCAATACCCGAATATTTTTTTTATACAAATAAACTGCCGAATTTCAAAACATTTACTCGGCTAACATAGTAAGGTTTAAGAACAGCTCTTCTACTTTATGTTAGAGCTGTACAGTTTAGAATATAGTGAAATTCATCACCTATCTCTCGAGAATTAATTCTAACAATTCCAAGCCATATACCGGTGTCAATAGGTAACCAGTGATTTCCAGTCTAAACCTACATAACGTTATTTTATCTTTATAAGGTAATAAGTCTAAATATTCTTCAAATTCAAAGTTTTCTTTAAACAGTTTATAACATAATGCTTTTGGAGAGTTTTCCATTTCTGAATTCCAAGTCTGCTGAAATTGGTCAAATATACTCTGTTTAATGCTCAACTTTAACCAGTTTTGCTTTACGGCTTCTTACTATCTAAGTCGGTAGAAAGAATTATTTAACATACATTTTTAACGACCAGCTTTTAGTCTTTTATAAATTGTAAGACGATCATTTATTGTTTTTACAGCGGATCACCTTGAGAGGTCTTTCCGGTGTTATGCTAGCGCCGAAATTCTGCACACGGCCCTTGCATTTTAAAGCACCCATCACTTCGTGTGAATCGTATAAATACGCGTGCAAAATAGCATTCCTTATCGCTTGTTATATATTAATTTCATCAATAAATATTCATGAAAATATTTTTTAAGAACATAGATTAATGAAATGAAAATGTTTTGTCGTGAGAAATATTGATAAAACATATTGTTGAAGAGACTAAGGCAGGGGACTCTTAACAGCTTGTTAGTTTTTTATAAATTTTGATGCTGTTTTTATTGTGTTTGTTTGATATGTATGTATATATGTTTATTGTGTTAATACATGTTGGTCAAAAACTGTAAAGTTTATACGACCATAAAATATTTGATTTGATTTGATTTGATATCGGTAACAAATCATGAATACCGAACATTTGTGTTAACGCATGCGGAAGAATATCTAGAGGACGTATGATCTGCTATATATATAACTGTTATACAAATATTAATATAATATATAACAACAAACCAATATTATACTTATAACAAATGATTATATCACTACAATATAATAATTATTACGGTGAGGTTGAATTCCCTGTCATTTATTCATCATCCACACAGGAACTTGTCTCAGAAAATAAAATATATCTATGTACCTTAACCTTACTTCCAGGTATAGAGATATGATTTTTATTTCTGAGACAAGTGCCTGTGACCATCCACCAGAACTTTCGGTCATCCGATGTTCAGTACTTCAGTACTTTGATCATTAAATAGTTGCATAAAATGGAAAAATAAAGAAATTTGTTTATTTTTCCATTTTATCAGTGTTCAGATAATACAACGCCAATGAGAATTAATAAAGAAAATTATTTCACAAAGAAAACCTGTCCTAAATTAAATAGATAAAATGAGAATCCGTAGGGCATTCCTATATATGTACTTTCACTTTCGTTTTTTTGGTACCTACGTTGTACTATATTATATGTATGACGTTCAGGATTAATAATGATGTCGCTAATAGACGTTACCCCTGACGACGTCGCCAGCTACCATACCGGTAGGAAATTATGGAGAAAATTTTAGAACAATTTGATGTCTTAATAGACAAAATGTGAATATTCATATTGAATATAAATATTTAGTGCATTTTCAGCCTTATTTTTCCCCTAAATTTTATAACTTTTCAATATGTATATAAATATATCACGATATCCCAATAGAATGAGTTCGAATACCGGCGAGGGAAGAACAAAATTTTTTTAACATTGTTGTGCTGATATTTAGAGTAATTATGAATGCTAGAACTCACCCGCGACATCGCGAGTCCGTGACTGAATTAAAGTACCTACGCCTTATTTTTAGCCTGGATTTCGTATTGTCATTTGATAAAGTTGTGCTGATTATAAGGTGCACGGTTTTCTTCTCTGTTTCAAAATCTTTCTTTTTGAATCCGTCCTGGTTTTCTTACATCAACCGGAAACTGCTTGTAGATATATTTTTTTGGGGTAAATGATTGAATGAACACTCTTGTCCTATATTAGTTATATATAAAGTTGAATTCTTTGTTTCATCGTTTTTACATCATGCCGGCTAACAAATTGGACCTCGTTATTTTAGTAGTATAGATGATGCACTTACAATACAATACAGGATCCTTATAGGCCTAACTGTCCTATTTTCTATCCCTTTCTTCTTACTTTCACTTGAATTTCGCGAGCAGTACGTCTTTATGGTTTAAGTGGACAGTTTTCATTCCCTGTTCATTCATCAAATCTTATTAAAGTAAACAGTTTTTCTGGTGATATTCTATTTAACTGTGTTAAACCACATTAACTCATAAACAAATACTAGTAAGTATTTTAAAATGAAATTAATAATACCTACATAAATGCACAGATCATGTAATTTGCTGTAAAACAAAGGGGATGAAAGTTAACAAACAAGGAATTCGTACTAAGCAAAGAAATGCAACTAAACGTCCAGAAACACAAACAGAACACATGCTTGACAGCTGATTGCACACAATTTTGGAGGAGTCTGTGATACCGATTCCGCATGTTCATCGTGGAAAAGGAGACCCCAAATACATAGTAAACATCGTTCATAAAAGGGCTGAAAAAGATAACGACTGACTATGTAACATGAAATTATGCTCAGATTATACACAAGGAATCAATTTGAGGTGTTTGATTGACCTATTTAGAACCTTCAGATGTTTCTAATGAACACTTTATTTATCTTCAAAGCGCAGTAAAATCAGATTTAATATGTGAAGGCAAAGGAGTTTTTTTTGTGTGTGTGTGGGGGGGGGGGGGGGGGGGGGGGGGTGCAAAAAGAAAAGGAAAAGCAGAGCAAATATTCAATAGAGAAGGGTATGGATGGGTTTTACAGAGTAGAGAATAATGGGCAAACAGTGCAAAATAAAGGGCTAAAAAATAAAGAATAGACAAAAACATACAAAAAATAAGAATAGAGATTAATAGTGTGCTTAAATATACATGATGGAGAATTATGGGGATAGAGAAAAATAATATAAAAATAAAGTAATAAAGAATTGATGCGTGCAAAGGGTGATAAATTTTAATATATGCAGCCTCCTCCATTTATAACAGCTGCTTCCTTTGAAGTTTAAATAAGAAATAAGATAAAACAAATTTTTGGTACACTGGTACTTTGAATCGAGTTACATCAGAATATGAAATAAGAAATGGAGGTCATCATTTTTTTTTTCTCGTAATTTTTATAAGAAAACTTCGATATATACCTAGGATATATAGGGAAAATGCTTTTTTTTAAACTTATTTTTTAAAATTTTTCAATGGATGGCTATATGTTCTTATATACGGAAAAAGACTAAAAACTAACATAATATGCAGGATTGTGTACTGAATCCATGCATGTATAGAAACACATATGTCACCATCCTGGTTTTTTTAGATATAATGTTTCAAAGTTGACAGATACGCTTAGAATTTGACAGAAAACGTGTGACGTTACTGAATACATGCAGAAT